GAATGTCTGCTTCTACACTAATCCTGAGTGAAATAAGAGCTATTCATTCTCTTGTTCATCTCTTTTTATTTAAACATCCTTTAGTTGAAAAAAATTTCAAATACAACACAGGATTGAGTTTTGTACAAAAAAATCTTTTATAAGAACCTGATAAGATTCTTATAAGAATCTTATAAGATACTGATAAGAGACTTATAGGTTTCTGGTAAGATTCTTATATAAGAATCGATCTCTAGGGTATGTAGTTTAACTTATGCTGTATCCATGGATATGCAAATGGAAATATAATAATAAAATATAGAGGAGAACGAGCGAACAGAAAAATGTACTTTTTTTGTCCGTGAGAGAGTATGATCACGTCGTGACACGTAAGAGAAAGGTGATAGACAGTAGATAGAGATAAAAAAATCATTGCACGTGTGTTCACATTAGAGAGGTGCATTTTCAGCAAAAATAGCTCCGTCGGACCGAGACCTTGTTCAAAATGCGAGGTGTTCACTAATAGAGGTTTTACTGTATTAGGAATTAGTCCTGAAGAAACAGTGACTATTTACCGGATATTTTTGAACAAAATATTTTCTTGTTTCATTAAACGCAAATGTATAGGAGGCACTGCACGAGAGCTGCAACGTGCGTTGCATCCAAGGTATGACCAATGGGGTATCAAATTTTTGGGGTATAAAGATCAAACACATTTAGAAATAACGTGAAAGTTTAACCTCAAGCGGTTGTTTCGTTCAAGAGATATAAGCATTTTTCTAATAGGTGTCACTCGTTATAGAAAGCTGATTTTGCTGTAGATGCGCCAAAGTAAATTTCAATTGTCTAGTTTTGCAGCTTCATACTGTCCACTATTTATGGGAAAATCTCCAAGGTTAAATAATCTGTTGTTAATGAATTACAAGAGTTTATGTTGGCAAATTTCCAAGATCCACGTTTTTCGGGGTTTTCAAAAAATTTCAATATCTCAGCAACGATACAACTTTTTGATTTGCGCCGTTTACCAAAATACATTAAAATGTTTGGTCTACAGAAGCCCCCTAGTTTGGAAAAGTTTTGCGAACATCGACTGAAGAACGTCGGTCGCGGCTCATATATACTACGAAGTGAGGTCTATCTGATGATTACGTCAAAAAAGTTTTATCTAATGGTAACTGCTCGTGGCAGGCATTTTGCTGCAAAATCACTCAGAAAATTTAAAAATGAGCTTTCTTCTAGTCAGTGGAATGACTCTTTTTAGAATTGGTTTCACTTAAAAGAGTACATTGAGGCAGAATTTTGGACTTTATTTTTTCACCGATAGATTTCCCCCACTGTCTTCTGTAAACTAGCAAAAACCGCACTTCTTTATCATTTGTATAGCAAAAGTTATTTTGAAAAGAGTTTTCTGTACTATATTTTCTAATGGACAATAATTGGTACACAAAGACTCGATCAACAACACAATTTATCTTTTTCCTGTGGGCGTAAAACTTCTGTTTATTAAATATCATTACTTCTAGTTGCAAATAATTAATTGGTAAATATAAAAGGATATCGAATAAATAAGAATTAAAACCAAAAGGATAGAAAAATCACAGGTAAGTGACAATAGTAGACTAAGAGTAAATCAAATATAAATAACAATAAGATAATTACTTCATTAAAAATTTGACAGCAGTACAATAAAATATAAAAGTTAAAATAAGTTGATTAAAATTAAATTTAAATTTAAAAGTTCAATTAAAATTTAAAGTGAGTTTTCACCTTAAATGATGATTCAATAAAAGTTAAAATTAAATGAAGACAAATAATAATTATAGTTTTTTCGTTCTGATGATCACCCTGGTACACTTGATACTGGTGTAGAACATTTAGAATTTTTTTCGGAGACCAGCAGTTTCCAAATCTCACTGCATATTAAAAACAACTAGTTTTGTTAAAAAAGTTATAAGACAATTTCTTTTATTCAGGTATTATGAATTCTGAATATAAATATTACAAAACATATAAAACGACTGTTGAATGTAATGAACAGTGGTAATAGTAGATCAGTTGATGTGGATCTTCGGTCGAATACAATACTGATCTTATACCTTCGTCCTTCTGTACTACGTCTTTATTTATCTTAAACAACCAGGTTACTGAGTGATCCGTAATAAACTAAACGCTAAATGTTAAGGCATTTTTCTATCATTTCTTCCCATTAAAAAAAAACTCCTTTTGTACGTCAAACGATAGAAAATTTACTTTTCTACATTCTTCATGTTTCGTGTGACAACTTTAACAAAAGTTTCAGATTTTTTAAATTTATGTGGTAGTTTTAAAGTGCAAAGTGCACACTTTTTTAATGGTTTATAATAGGCATGCATCCATTAAAAACCGGTTTTTTCATCCTCTTTTCGCAGAAATTAAATTGTACTAGAAGAATGACATATTAAATTTTTCTCATAACTAAGTTTTGTAGAGCAAACATTTCTCTTCAAAATGAACAGTCTCTAGGCACATCTTCATGGCGATCCAGCGCTTATAAAAGAAAATTTAATAAGAGTCTCATTTATTGCATAACCGACACCGATAAATGGAGCTCTGTATAAAAAGGCGATTGCAAGGAAATGAGAAAAGATGGAAAATTCGCCATAGCGCATTTTATAGAGAAATGTTTACTCTAAAAAACTGAGTTGTGAGAAAAATTTAAGATGCCATACTCTTCATACAATCTATTTTTGATAAAAGCTAAAAATACTGATTTTTAATCGGTGCATGCCTAGCTTATAATCAGGTAGAAAAAAATTTTAAAGAATTTTACTAACGTTAATTGATAAAATTTGACTAATCCAGTAAAATTCAAGGTTCAAATCATCCATTTATAGACCATTAAAAAATGTAGAACTGTACATTCTATTAGGCTATGAAAGTTTCTCAGTGAAACTTACAAAATAAAACTGATACTTTTCGAAGTTACCTTACCTGAAAACATTGGAAATACTGGATGTTCCCAAAACGATGGGTCCAAAAATTAGAGTAAATAAATTTTCTCATAGATTCCTTTTTCGTTCAGATTTCATCAAATCATTATTTCTCATTAAAACAAAAGTATCATTTTGTAGCAAAATTCTCGTTGAATCTTTCAATATACCGTGTGTTGTTGAATAAGCGACTTTTAACGACATTTTGCGCAAAAAAAATCGATATTTCGAAGTTGCAGCCAAAATATCTGAAGCTTTTCTTGTTAGAATGCAGTATCAAACATCAAGGATGAATGTTAAAAATGAACATACAGTCTTGTAGAAAAATAAATTCTCCATATTGTTTGACATATAAAGGATTTTTTAATAAATGAGGAGTGATAGAAAAATGCCCTTAATATTTAGCGCAATTTATTACGAGCTAACCGTTATTGCATCAAGAGAGAAAATTTTGGATTTTTCTGATTTTTATGGCTTTTCGTTGATTTTCACCAAATGAAAAGTCACTGCAAATGACTAGAAATCACTGAAAATCAATTTATTTTGGATGATTTTCGACTGTTTTTGGGCGGATTTTCCGCTTGGATTACACTCATTGAAGGGAAAGTGGATTCAATTGTCTACGGCACATGCTCATAGAAAGAGCATACAATTTAAATTAGCTTTTATTCGTCATAATTCTTTATTTTTACTGAAATAAGAAAAAAATTCAGCGCCAATTTTTGTCACTTTTTTGTTTCTACTTTTTTAAATACATAATGCTTCTTTCATTAGTTTATTTCATTTTAAGTTTATCATTGACTTGTCAAATTCCAGTGCCGAAAACTAAAGAACAAGAAATTGCTAAAATTTATCAAGAATATAATAGAAGTACACCATGGCTTGATATGTTTAATGATGCTAGTAAAAAAGCATTGTATTATAAAACACAAAAAAAGTTGAAACAAGTTTTATTAGAGGAACTAAAAGTCAATGCTACGGCCTATGGAAAATTATATGATCAAGGTCAGAAATATAAATATTCAAAAAAGAAAAAAGAAATAAAACTTTGGGAAAATTTTCGAGATAATAATGAAGAACAATTAGTAAAAGAATGGAATAAAACAGTTGACGAAGCACGATATTTACAGAAAAAGGAAATATTTATATTATTGGATCTTGAATTACACTGGGTTGATATTCGAATGAAACTAAATCAATATAAAGGCGAAATTGAACGACAACTACAAGACACAGAAAGAGGCACAGAAAAGAAATCGAAAACAAATATACTTCCTTCTAGACCAAGAATAAAACGAAAATTATGGAAATCCGAAAAATGGGTGTATGTTGCTAGTGCATTTATTTTGACGTTGGCAACGATTATTGCCATCATCGTTGTAAAAAGAAAACGGGAAACTCAAGAGACACAGCAAAATCTTTTATCATCGACGATACAAGACAAAAAGTCAATATCTTCAACAAATGAAGGGATTACTCCTAGAAGTAATACTGTTACCATTTTAGCTGAAACTACAACTAGAATTTTGACAGTTACATTTTCTAATACGGTTATAATGATTGAGAGTGACAACAATGAACAGATGAGTTCAGAAATTACCATAGCTATTATTGCTGGTAGTGTGTTATTTGCTGTACTGTTAATTGGTATCGCGTTATTCATTATTATGATTGTGATTAGTAAACAAAAGAGTCATAGTCCCGATGTCATGGTCAAACAACGTTTAAGTGATAACTACGAAATATCTCCACCTGATTATTATCAACCATTACAAATGTCTTTATTTGAATGGCAATCAAATTCAAGAGATTCACGAACAACGTTTTAGACAATATACGCTCATAAAATAAAATATTTTTTAAATGAAATTGTTTCTTTAATAACTGTTCCACTTACAAATACTAATATCAAGGCTCGTGACGGTTACAAGAGATTCCAAGAATATACAAGGTATATGATTAGAAGAAGTTTGAAATATTCTTCAAGAAAATCTCAATCTATTTGATTATATTCACTCTTTTGCTATAGAGTGTGCTATTGAGGCCTTATCGAAGAAACATATTCCTAGTTGAAAAGCACTCTTTCATAGGGCAACCGATGTTTTGATTCAAATTCGAATATAATTATTTTCAAGGACATTGAAATCTCAATATATTTTCATATAAAAATAATTTTATTTTTATTGCCTTTAGTAAAAGAAAAAGTTAAGAAACGCATATCTGTAGAACACATGGCATATCGCTTCTATTTGAATATTGGGATTGTTTTGCTTATTTATTCGATTTGTCAATAAGTGAAGATTCATTCGTACTTCTTTAACTAGCAATCGATTTAGATTTAACAGGAGGTTTTCTCCTTGATCGTAAAAGATTCTTCCTCCGAAAAGGAAAGATTCCTTTTTACCCTTTGTACAAGCGCTACCTGCTATTCATTTTTTAATCGTTTATAACCATGATCAGAATATCCAGAACGTTTGTAGCAGTTATGAACAGGGATTCCAGATCTTCTGATATTGGCAGAAAAATTCTGATTTTTGGAACTTTTTTTGCCACGTTTCTTTTTCACCCTAAGATCTACTGAGTTTTCTGATTTTCTACTTCTCTTTCTAAGGTTTTTCTGATTTTGGACTTTTATTTTCTGATTTTCGTGTTTTGGATCTGAGATCCCTGGTTATGATGCATATTAATCACAGTATATTTTGGACTCTGGAAACAATAAAGCTAAAGTTCCTTCGGGATTTAAATCTATTGACTATGGCCTTGGTGATCTATCTGTATCGTTTCGTATTTTGAATTCTGATTCAGTCCTATGCACTTTTTCATCAATCCTTCTGTTATTGGGTTCTATTATAATTTTCTATTTTCTTCTATAGTGTTTTTGGATTTTTTTTCTGTATTTTATGAATTCCTCTCGAGTAAGCAACATTAGTTTTTCTTTTCTTTTTATTCGGGTACTTTTAATATATCTCCCGCATCATATTGACTTAATGATTTATTCATCATTTATCATTTCTATTCATGCTGTTCCACTGATTATTTTCTATTTTACTAAACTCAAAATAGATAAAAAGCTCATGGAGTGTGATCGAAAGAAAAAAGATGCGATGGTTTTACTTTTTTCCTTCTCTTGTGCAGACAAAAAAAAGAAAAAACTCAGTGTTTGTTATTCATCTTCACACTTTCATAGATTCAATCTGTTATAAGAAAAAAGCATTCAGTTTACATTTCATATTGATTAGAGCTCGGCGTACATCAGTGCAATACCTATATCTGTAGCATAAAACAAAATTATCGATTAAGGTAACGGACGATACAAACACTTTTCTATTTGGCGTTCAGCTCTAGGAGATAATAACTAGCTTAATGCATATTTCCGTCAAAAGGAATAAAAGCAAAGCTCTAATCCTCACCTATAGTGGAAGTTATATGCATGGGTACAGATAAACAAAACTGTTATAAAATAATCTACTTTCACATTAACAGTCAAAGTTTGCAGTTAACGAACGCGCTGTTTCTTACTTTTATAATGTGTCTTTGATAGCTATACCTCAAATCAGGGGTGCAACCGGTATCACAAATGCGATACCGGTACCGGTCACCGATATACGAACTTCGTACCGGCGCTGGTACCGGCCGGTATACCGGTGACCGATCTACCAGTCGGTACCGGCTTGTCTTGATTATGTTTTGCCTAAATACAAATATTTTTTCCTTGTCACATATGTGAAGAAGTCTGATAACACTCACCGAAAAAAACCGATTACTCTTCTTTTGATCAATTACGTATGTTATCAAAGAGATAAATTAATCTCTTCGCTTTGATGATGTATAGGTGATTTTTCCCACGCACTTTTTTAACAAAAACAGCAATCCAATTCAATTTTTTAAATTAAGAAGCTTATATAACCGAACTAAGTTTACGTAATTGGAATGAAATTCCAGTGGAAGAAATATGTCGAAATGAGCTGAATTTACACGATGTTTTTGGAAAAGTCGCATCATACTGCAAAATACCAGCAATATCAACCAACTGAGTATACCTCATACTGATACCGGTATACCGATCGGCGTTATAAGTCATACCGGTACCGATTGCACCGCTGCCTCAAATACTCGCCAAAAACTACCTGGTAGAGAATATAGCCAACTTCCAGAATCTTCCTCTGTCAAATCAAGTGACATATACAGCTGTGAAAAGGAAAATGTTCATAACAGAGTTATCCGTTTATGCCAGTTTTTCAAGTCTCTTAACTTTAAACAGTTTATAAACTGAACAACAGTGGTAATTCAATTTGTTTTCCTCCAAAATGCACTTAAATTCAGCTGGTCACGTTAAACCTGACCCACTTCGGTAAGATTTCACCTTGACGCTGTGACGAAACTACAGAGGTATCGAAAAACAAAAAGTGTCTTGAAAGTTTCTCATGGGTACATAAAATAATTGGATGACAAAACCTGGAAAAGACAAGTTTTTTACAACTTTTACCTGATTATGCTCATAGTCAGCTGATTCTTTAAAATGAGTTCATAATTATTTTTATGCCCAACAGTAGAAATAGATGGTTTCTATCCACCAAATATAACACCACCTTCACAATTAATTGGAGCTGGACCATTGAAAGCTTCAACCCACTTTCTTTGAAGATATTTTTTAGAGCATAAAATAATTTTTGCTGCTTGGTACTCGTAAAACTTGGTGAAGGTAGTCTTGGTAAGACAATATCTAGAAAAGAAAGAGAGAAAGAAAATAGATAGAAACAGTGTTGAACAAAGCGCATAGCACGCGTGTAATGCCTTTGACAGAGGAGTGCTATATTAACGAAGATATCTGCTAAACATTCTCGTATCATTTATTCTGTGACATATTTCTGAAATTTCTTAATTACAGACGTGACAAATGGCCTCCATCATCAATAAAATCTTTGGCAATGACAAAGACGAGAAAAGCTCATCTCATACAACGAGTTCAATTACATCTCACTCGGGACCAACGAGTACAACAGTCTGTACAGACGCAAAGGGTCACGGTGGAACAGCGCATACGGCAGTCAGTGACGATATTCGAGTCAAATCAACGGTCACATCCGATACACAAACGAAAGTGAGCATGGAAAATGCAGCAAAAATCAATGATCTAATGACAAAACTTAGTAGGTTAAACCGCTTATCAGTGATTTTCATATAACAGAAGGTTTTTGTAGGTACTACTCACTCTCAAATTGATGCGTATTCGAAAAAGCGCACGGATCAAATCGATGAAGCTGTTGGTGCGTCACTCAAAAAAGTTGTGGCTGAGACACAAGCTCAACAAGAACAACTTTTGCATGACGCAAATAGCCGAACAAAAGCGCTCGAAGAAGAATACAAATTGAAATTGCAAACGTGCGTTGAAGAATTACACGTTCAAAAAGCTCAAACATTAGCAACACTCGAAAAGGAATTGAAAGAGAGACAAGAACGCATACTGACTCGAGCACGCGCTGAAATCGATCAATTGAATCAACATGCAAATGAAGCCAAAATAAACGTAATGAAAGATGCGCAGACAAAAATCAATACTAAGGTCGAAGACATCACTGATCAGGTTCAAGCACTGGGTGCAGACGATGCCGCGAGACGGTTACAGTCGACAACGACCACTGTCATCACATCACAAACGAAAGCGACGGGTGAAACACAAGCAGTTATCGGGGCCGCGGTCGTTGTTCCAGATGAAAAGACAACTACACATGTAACAGAAACAAGTAGCACCCATTCAACTACACAAAATTAGATGAAATTAATGAACAAATAAACTGTCTTTTTTTGCAGGAATCTTGGCTATTGGAATAATATACGTTTTTTTGTAGACAGACTAGATATTCTTTATTCTAACTAATTTGGTTCTTTATGTTGCTGTTACTAATCAAGCTATTTACTCGATAATATACCTTATTAATAGTATCAATATTTCAAGTCATAATGCAAGATGCTAAACATAGAAGCCAGTTTACTTACTAAAAATTTTTATATAAGAAGTTACAGATGTTCGTGGTTAATCAAACTCTCACACTCTCGTTCCCATCAGGTACAAACGTTGAAAAACAGATTCTGGACTCGTTTGTTGCAAAAAAACTGAAAACATTTTAGGTTTTGAAAATCAAGCTTCGTGTAGGAGAAACTCTCTTCTGCTGTATTACAGAATCGGCAGACTAAATTTGAGCGGGAGAAATATTAGAGAAGTGGCTTAGTATTGAGAATAACCGTTTCAACATTCAAAAATATAAGAGAAACAGAAAAGTATCATGATGTAGGAATTTGAGATTAATGCAAACAGTTTTCTTATAGAGTAATGAATGTGATAATAGCATAGACAAATTCGTTTGTCAGGTAAAGTAGAAAAAGCATAAAGACGACCTATCACATTAGATATCGATAAGTACTATTTTTTGCAGCTTAATATAACCGTTTTATGATTAAAACAAATTGTTCTATAACTATTATATCGTGCTTGCAGTTGAACGTAGCATACAAATTACTCTCTATTTTAGTGCCTAAATAGTGTGCATCTCATATTGCATCATATCAAAACAGAGATGTTTAATTATAATAAAATTTCTTAAGTCCGCGATGGGATAATACTGTCAGGTGAAAAACGTCTTACAAGATCCGATTTTTTCTAATAATAAGATCTTTCTAGATTTTCCTGTAATGTTAGATTTCGTAAAAGTTTGTAGTATCATATTATGAAACGTATCATGAGTAATGTATAATAATGCAGAAGATCTAACAGAATCATATGGTAAACAATGATATAATCTTTTGAGTTCTTGCACGAATCATTGTTACCACGTGTGGACTACTTCAGCTCAGAATGATGTCATACTAAAACAAAACTCTACGCTTCTTTCATGTTTATCATGACTCATTCACTCATCATCTCACACTCATTAAACTCTGTATAATTGTTTCTGGCATACTAAATTTATGTAATAAACCGAAAGTTACAGAAAGTCTTGGATGGATAGAATTACATGCCTTGTTCGAGTTGTTGAAATTAAAGCTAATGCATAAGGTCATTACCAGGTAAGACCCGCACTTTTTATGTAAACATATAAAATTTGCAGTAAATTGTTCTATAGTACGAGATCAAACGAGTTAGATCTGATTCAACCGATCTATGGTAAAACTGAAACGTTTTTGTCTGTCTTTTTTCCATATACAATCAAGATATGAAACATTCTCCCTTTGCAGCTGATGAGGGAACGTTTTTCGATGAATTCTTCCGATTTCGTTCGTTCATACGTCATTCGATAGAGGGTTGAAAGCAGGTAAAAAGCCTAAATGGATATGGGCCCATGGCTCTTTCCTCAACAGTTACAGCCATTTCTTTAGTTTTCCTAGCGAATACTAGCAAAAATACAGAAAAATTCAGAACTCCGCTGAGAAAGGCCGTAGGAAGCTGAAATTGTTTGGGTGGTCACTCTAGAGATCTGCTAGATACCCTGAAAATTTCAGCTCTCCGTCGCTCTTCCTTCCTGAGTTATGAAAATTCTAACGGTCAGAAACAAACCTTTTAGTTAAATAACGTGTATCTACTTCCGTAAATAAAAGGCCCGGTTATTTTGATTCCACGTGTCTCTTTGTTGTTTGTGTGAAAATAAAGTCCTCTCTCTCTCTTTTTTTCTGTTACATGTGTTTTTCTTAATTACTATTTTTAGGAGGAAAGAGACAAAAGAGAGAATAAAAGTAAGGTCTTTGCTTTTGCTAGTTTTCGCTAGGAAAACTAAAGAAATGGCTGTAACTTTTGAGGAAAAAGTCATGGACCCATATGCATTTCGGCTTTTTACCTGCTCCCAACTATCTATCGAACGACGTATGAACGAACGAAATCGGAAGAGTTCACCGAAAAACGTTCCCTCTTGAGGAAAGTTATTACATGTAAGCATTTGCAAAAGATTTGTTACAACATTTTAAACTTGTTGAGAGCATAATGCCTGTCAGTTGATAGAAGGGCAGATATAGCTCTTAATCAGATGAGAGTGGACGTTTCGGTTTTGAACAACAATCTACCTAAACGCCATCTAGTTTCTAATGAGGAGTTTTGCGAGTGTGGGGAATCCTAGATTGTAAAGCATTATTTCCTTTCTTGTCGTAGCTATCGTTTGGCGAGAGCAGATCTGTTTGAACAAACAAAGCTGTGTAATCCGAACTACTGAGACAGCCAGATTCTAACTGTAACATTCCATCAGCCTTCCTTCCTTTTCAGTTCCTTTTTCTTAATTTTTTCGTTTTTCTTTTCGTCTTGTTATGTATTTAATGTACGCTCAGAGAAACAACATGCTCAACTACTCTTTAATTATGTAATGCTTCGGCACATTAGGAGAAGAACTGCTAGGTATACCCAAGTAGAAAAGAGTAAGCAAGGAAATCTAGCCTATCAAATAACCCAAACATCTACTTAATCGTACATTTTTTGTGTCAAATAGTTAGCTGTGCCGAGCAAGTGTTAATATAAAGATCATAATAATATTTTTCTAAGAACATTGCCTGGTCGATCGACCGAAAATATAAGATTAGATAAGTTATTTCGTGATGTGTGTTCTGTTACATATGTCATTGGTGCGATAAACGTGTTTCTGGTACCAGCAGAGCGAGCAATTGAAAACGTGAAGCAACTGATAACTGGCACTTGTAATCAGCATAAAAGTAAGCATATTCACCTATTCACTGTTTCAATTCATCGTGAACACAATGTGAATCAAAAATATAATTGTTTTCAATATAAAATAATTCGTTATATAGTACGTGGACAGCGACAAAAAAAATATGCTTCTTTCATACACTTTTTCGTTTTTTTCTGTTGCTAATCTATTCGATGAAAGTTACAAATTTAAATAAGAACCAAATGAGATTTCATTTCCTGTTTTCAGTTTTTTCATTATATCTCGGTAATCATAGCTGATCAGAAAAAACTGAAAACAGGAAATGAAATCTCATTTGGTTCTTATTTAAATTTGTAACTTTCATCCAATGAATTAGCAACAGAAAAAAACGAAAAAGTGTTATGAAAGAAGCATATTTTTTTATCGCTGTCCGAGTACTAATAATGATGAATTATTAAAATCTCTTTTTCGACAAATTTTAATAAGATCGCTTTTTGCGCCAGAAAAAATACATTTAAAGCGAATGTGTGGTACACGAAAAGAAAGATGCAACTTCGTAGCACAAGACTATGCATTTCGATTACACTTTTATGCATGATAACGTGTCCAAAAGAAACTCTATCTTTGTGCATTAAGTTAAAAAGTAATTAAGATTGAAATTTCACAGTATTTCATTTATATTCCTTTATTTTTAGTGTATGTAAAATATTATTTAATTTGTGTAGAAGCAGCAATTGAAACGTGAAGCAACTGATAACTGGTACTCGTAATCAATATAAAATTTAGCATATTCACCTATTCACTGTTTCAATTCATCGTGAACAAAACCTGCGAAAACAAACCTTTGAAAAGAAAAAATAATTCTGTATCCTTAAGGAAAAAATTATACTCAAAATACTGAAAGACTCATTTGTTCTGAAGCATCCATTATGTTTGAACTAGAAGCAATAATGAGTTACTGAAAAAGATTTTGTCGGCTTACTGAATTGCTCACGCATGACTGAATATTCGGAAGCAGATATTGTATATTTTAAACATCTTGTTATCCGGTTTAAGGATTCAGAACACTTTAAGCAAGCACGTCATCCATTTACAACGAATCAGATACAATTCTGCAAGAAGATAACAGTTCACAGAACAACGCTTTGAATGAAAACTTGATCAATACAAACGTTCGTGTAAGTGGTGGCTACATCGTTCATAAATCTTATGTCAAACAAGAATCTTTCTTGAAAAAAATAGAAAAAGTACATATAGAATGAGAACCGGAGTTATCAATACAAGCTTAAGGATCCTGATTGAAATGGCAAGGGACAAGAATCTTGCAAATCGATAAGGAAGTCGGCCAACACTAATAACACGAAGAGAGATTATAATAGAGACATTGTCATGAGTTATAAGCATGCAGTGATTTATCCTGTCATATTATATACCCATAAAGCATAACATCAAAGTATATCGAACTTAATCGAAGTTCGTGAATATATATATTATAGAATGCATATATAGTATAGAATAGTAAATATCTCGGTAATCGTAGCTGGTCAGAAAAAACTGAAAACAGGGAATGAAATCGCATTTGATGCTTATTTAAATTTGTAACTTTCATCGAATAAATTAGCAATAGAAAAAAACGAAAAAGTGTATGAAAGAAGCATATTTTTTTTGTCGCTGTCCACGTACTATATAACGAATTATTTTATATTGAAAACAATTATATTTTTGATTCACATTGTGTTCACGATGAATTGAAACAGTGAATAGGTGAATATGCTTAATTTTATACTGATTACAAGTACCAGTTATCAGTTGCTTCATGTTTTCAATTGCTCGCTCTGCTGGTACCAGAAACACGTTTATCGCACCAATAACATATGTAACAGAACGCACATCACGAAATAACTTATCTAATCTTATATTTTCGGTCGATCGACCAGGCAATGTTCTTAGAAAAATATTATTATGATCTTTATATTAACAGTTGCTCGGCGCAGCTAACTATTTGACACAAAAAATGTACGATTAAGCAGATGTTTGAGTTATTTGATAGGCTAGATTTCCTTGCTTACTCTTTTCTACTTGGGTATACCTAGCAGTTCTTCTCCCAATGTGCCGAAGCATTACATGCCGAGGCCGTCCGGCGTCCTTCAAAGGCATTTTTCGAGGTTTTGTACCCTTCAAGTTGTTTGAATGTTTTGAGACAAAAAATTTTTTTCAAAGACTAAAACAAACATTCTTGATCAGCTGGAAGAGCTCTATCTAGTAACGTCACAAAACCGCGAAAAAAAAATTCCGTTATGTTATTGAATTACTGGCACCTCAGTTATGCTAAATATTTTCTGTATCATCTTTGAGCAGCATGAAAACTGTCCTCATGATTAATATATAGTTTTGAAATCAGACGATTTCAGAGCTATCGGCAGACCGAAGTATAGCTACATCAGACAGAAACTGCCGACGAAGCCATTAGACATTAAATTTCAATAATACTTACCACCTAGGATATCTGAAAGCCTGAGAGCCTTTCAAATGCCTTTTTCTCATGATGCCACACACGCTTTATTTTAACCTGTTTTGTAAATCTTGAGTAAGGCTTTCGAATAAAAAAGTTGCTTGGTTCCTGACAGAAGAAGAGACAGCGTAAGTGCTGGAAGTTAAGCAAAAACAGCTGGAAAATACCGACATATGCCGATTTTTACGATAAAAGTAATTTAGTGATTTCTCAGCCCTCGCTATAGATGTGGTAGGTAAGAATGCACACCACTCTAAGTAAAAAATGTCAAAAGAAAACTTCTCAGTAGACAAAGCTCAATGTTCGAGCGAAGCCAGTATATTTATTAAAAATTTTGCATCATGTCGTATATTTTTATCATCACCGCTCTGCAATTCTTCAAAAGGATGAGACAGTACAGCCGGTGAACGCCAGATTCATAACATTTAACAACGAAGAATACATATTGTGATTGTGTAAAATACATACTGAAAAATTGATCGCGTAGCTATGCTGGGTGTAGTACGTTCCCGTTACTTTACTCTGAAAAGTAACGGTTTTCCGTTACTAGTCATTAGTAAGGATTAACGGAAATCCGCTAACTGTTACCAGTAACGGTAAAGGAAATCCGTTACTTTTCAGAGTAAAGTAAAGCAAAGTAACGGTAAAAGATTATCTGTGTTGTTTCGACAATCCCTTATTTATTTCGTTAAACTTCTATAACTGATAAAAAGAAAAGTTTTTTTAAATATTTCATGTTTCTAGCTTGAAAACTGTATCAAATCTGAGATTCAATTAATCTGACATAGCAGTATAACTACAGGCTAAATTAACCGCCGACGTATGGTCAGTAATTAATTACGGAAGGTGCAAAAAAACTTAAAGAAAAAATGTAGAGGATCGAACCTCAACTCGGTCTCATTATTATCGACGAGTGTACGGCTCATTTTACTGTCAGCGCTTATGATCAGATATATTTTTTTTTCACTTATTTTGTTTTTTTCTGCGCTAAAGAAATGGAAAGGACATCAGAAATGCATCTTATATCAAAACCGAACTGTATATTAGAATATGCTTGTATCACCGAACTAACAAAAATCTATCCTTTAATTCAATGTTTCTATGAATTTCAAAGGACTAACAACTGAATGAACGGGTTAGTTCAACCAAAAAAGAAAATTCATCCGTTATTTTTCCGGAAGTAATAAGAGTAACGGATTTTCATTACCGTTACTGGTAAAAAGTAACGGTTTTCTATTACCTGTTACAGTAACGATAAAAGAAAGTGCCACCTCTACTAGCTGTTGCGCACATCAGGACCACGGATGTAAAGCAGCTGTCCAAAACATTATGTGCTGGCGATGCAGAGAAATTATAGTTCGGTATTATGATTTTCTTGAGCTGGTGTTAAATATGAAGTATTTACATTATTAGTCAATGATGGAAGATAAGAACTATTATGATGTACTTGTAAACTGTCACGACAGTAGAATAATGAATTTGCCGATATCGTTCGCCATGATTCACCAAATTCAAATATTCGTTCTTCATTACTATCTGTTGTCGATAACAAAGTACCATTTGGAAATATCAAATCATTTAATTTATCACCATCCATATTTCCAAGTAGTCCGTGACATTTTGTTTGAAGTACTTTTGGTAATATCGTAACAATATTGAGAAAATCATATTTTTCAAGTATGTTTATAATTAGAGCTACATTATTTGAATATGTGAGATGATATTTTCTTGAATTTATTTGCTCTATTAACATTTGATCATCGTCAAATTTAATTGTTTTGACACTAATGCCATCAAAAATTGACTCGGTGGCATTTTCGAATGCAGATAAATCCAATAACATTATATTCTCATATTACAAAATCTAAGGAGAGATGGAAAATATATTACTTGAGAAAGTAGTCCCGTACAGTATTACATTAATAGTGATATATCGGTTGCTAAATTTTTCAATAGTTCAGTTTGAATACTAATTTTAAAGAGATCACACGATATTTTAGACGATTAATGATCTCTTGATGGATAAAAGATCCTGTCTGAATGGGTCACGTAATAATCATACCTCTTTTATATAATTATTAACTCTTATCTCCACTACTTTTGATGTTTTTAGCAGCTCAAATTGTACTTTTGAATAATTACTGTTCTTAATAGCGAATGCTACTATAGCTGTACTTTTATTCGTATCTTCACTGGGTATATCCGGTGGGGGAATTAGTTCTAATCGCACTTGAATTTCTAACGGTATTTTAGTATCAAATGTTTGAACTAAAATATACTCACCATGTCCAGGAAACGTATAATGTAGACCATCATGCGTCAAAAAATGGAGATGACTATTGCCAATGTCAGTAATTGGAAGTGACACATGTTCACATTCACCTGCTGGCCGTTTTTCATAATAAAGTTTACATGAATCTTTCGTTGCAAATATACTTTTACAACAAGCAAAATACGGTAATACATCAGCAATAATATGTAAAATCCATTTCTGATATAAACTGCCTGATGCTGTTTGTACGTCCAATGTTCCAGCACCTTTTTCTGGTTCTGTAATCCACGTACCGTTTACATCGTAACAACATTGTGCACCAGGACCACTAATTTTAAATGATCGACGATAACAATGTGTTGCACCAACATGTAATTGACAAGAATTTGGTTTCGACGAATCACATGCATCATCCGTTACAAATTCATTGAATGATGTTGGAAAATGGCCAGATACAATAGTGGGTATAGAACATGGACATTTTGGTATTAGTGAAAGGTATATAGATGCATTTGCTTGTCTACTATGCCATAATGAACAATAACCATGTACCTTTTTATGTAGTTTATATAATTGCCATCCCCATGTTATTAAAGGTACATTTGTAATCTGTTGAGATCTCGATGAAACTACTAAACGTACTCTAATTTTATGCATTATATTGGCATCATCTGGCAAATGTTTTAATACATCTCTATAGTTATATTTTAAAGTTTGAACTGATGATAAATTAACATTATGTTCTATTTCTATTCGATGTTTTGTAATCTCACCATAAGGCACATTACTATCGTCAAATTGTCTTGAATAATGATACAATTCAATATTAAAAAGATTATTCGTTGTTAAAGAATTTATTTTGAAGTTTAATATAAATGATTCGTGTTCGTCCAAATCAACTAAATTAATTGATTCGTTATAGTTGTTCAAAACTAATTGTGCATTATTTATTGGTGTTTCAACAATAAATTGAGTTGTGTTGATTAATTCATTATTGGCATTGTAAAGATAAATATTTAATATGGACTCATTAATAATAAGCATTGGCATAATGAATATAATATAATGAGAATTAATTTGATAATTTTCAATAATTTGATCGTCAACAATTATTTTATAAATTGTTTCATTAAAACAAATACCACGCAAATGTATCTGATAACCGCCAAATGTTGAACCACGAAATGGTGATACTGTTAATCCATCAGTTGTGTTACATTGAATATCATTTATTTCATTCGATATGTAAAACATGTATCGACCGGGCTTACCAACGTTTGAATCATTTGTTATTGATAATATATCAGGTGTAAACGATTTATCAATAATAAAATAATTTTTTTCATTTCCGGCATTAAATCCAACTTGTGCATGTATATCCGCGGATGCTGTTCCATATGACCATTGTAGTTTATGGTAGTGATAAATGGTAAATGATTGTAAACCATTTGTTAATATTATAGCTTGTAATGTATTACGTAAATTATTTGAAAGTCCATAACCTGGAACGTTATACCATGTAACAACAAATGCCCATACAGATGGATACGAAACTAAATTTGGAAAGCTATCAGATACAATTGCATCAAGTTCTCGCAACGTTACAGCATCTGTTATTTGACGGTAAAATATATCGCTAAGAAGATCTCGAGATGTACTCACATCTGCCCAATATGGAGCAATACATACGAGTCTTTTAACTGGAAATCGAGAAGGAGTATAATGTCCACTGATCGATCCATTACCAAATAATATCAGACCATTAATATTGATTTGAATTTGAGTATATTTTTTACCAAAAAATGGAAATTGCACTGGTGTGAGAATTGGTAACGGCAACATATCGTCACATCGTGGCATTATCTCGTCGCCATATTCCGTACCGAATGATATGAAATTCGGTGGTATAAGAGGTGAGATATTCGCTGTCGTTTCGACATAAATGATGCTAAGTACCAGAACACTTAATGTAGAACAACGTATCATTGTAACGTTTCTCGAATTCAATATGAATATGTGACTCAGTTTACTTCGTCTCTAAATATATAACAATTTGTACTAGAAGACCTTTATCATTAGTCAAATAATTCACCTTTTTCCAAGTATTACAAGGAGAAAAAACAAGAAGAGATAGCAGTCTTTTTTTTCTGTATTATGTGTAACAGTATTACAACTCGGTACACATCAACTATTTAACGCGAAATACGGATGACTTTTAGAGGCTTCTTCGTACTCTTGGACCAGATATATTTCTATACAGGCAGTACAAATACTATAGACAGTAGTAAAAGCAGCATTAAACTGCATTTTAAAGCTCTGAGATGAAGAAGTTACAATTGCACTTGCAGAGTACGAAAACAACGCTATGTGTTTCACCAAACTTAAGATACTCATGTGGAAATTTTGCTGGAGTTTCACGACGTTGGGTCCCGCAGTTGCAACATCAAATGTGTTCATACATGACCACATGTGAACTTTCTATAATTTCACACGTGTTCAAAAGCGAGAACTTCTTTTCACATGGGGTCATACACCATTTTACGACTTTCACTAGTGACCACGTACGAAAATAGATGCGAAAAGTTTCCGTGAACAGTTCACTAGTTGTCACAAGCGGAATATTTTTTCAAGGGTACCACACACCATTTTGCGATGGTTACCTGCAACCGCAGTTCATTTCATCATATTTACGGGTGCACACGCCGTTTTATATACTGAATTTTTTCATGGGTATCGCGATAAATTTGCAGTTGCAACAAACTTCAAATATTCCATCTTTTCTTCCTCTGAATGTTAGGATAATGAGGACTGTAGGACAATAAGGACAAAAAAATACGAAGCGGATAGAAAGAGCAATGAGGACAAATATGATTCATTTATTTATCTCAGATCACAAACTTTGTACTCTCTTGACGTCAGCCAGTTAGCAGTGTTTTACAATGAAAATATTTCTCTGCGAGAAGAAATCAAAAATTGAATAACTCTGAACAGAATCAATGCAGTTAGGTGAGACTTGTGGACTATAGATAATACAGCTTGAAAACTGAAAGTTATTCTCAGCGGATCTGCAGGAGGTCGCTAAAGGGCTTTCAGAACGTATGTTGTGATTTCTAGACTTCGGACTGCCTTTAATGATAGACAATTGGAAGGATAACGGTTTGACAAAAACGTTTTCGTTTAGGCTTATCTAAAGGAAGCTAAAACGCTAGATTCGAAAATTCTGCATTTCTACAAACTTTGCTCATTGACATCGAACTTCGAACTTAACTTTGTCAGAAAAAATACGTTGATTTGAAGTAGAAGGCACTTTGATGTTTTATGAATAACGGTTTCCAGATTATGAAAGAGAACATCTGGGAGCATAATCCTATGCTAAATCTAGCCAGATCACACATATATACGATGGTGTACCTTTTCAAACAAAATGTCCGAGCCGGCCGTTCCAAAAATTTACATAGCAGAGTACTGCTCTAAACACGTATGGATATACAACAGATGTCGCCCTGCAATCTGACATAATTAAGTAAATTGCAGTCGACTGCAAAGCCATCTGCCGTGGTCCGGGCGCTGCAAGCAATCTCCGAGGGCTTACTTACCGGCTAAATCTGAAGTTCGGAAATCCTGAAAACACATGCAACATAGGTTTTCAAACACAGAAAATCTCCTGGCAATATTTGTTTTTTTTCCGAATCACATAAACTTCAAAAGATGAAGTTTTCAGAAGATTTGGTATTTTCGCTGTGACCGTACTAAAACAAAATCGTTCTAGTACCTTCATTTCTCGATCAAACTGAATGAAAGTTGAAGAGTGAGCATAAGAGAAGGCCTTCTATCCGATCCTACGAACAGATGAGATGAGATAGCGAGCTGCAGTTTTCAGTTTTGAAAACTAGACATCTGACCACATATTCCTGTAACCAAAAGCAAATTTTGGAAAAAGTTCTAAAGCGGGTTTTTTAGCGGATCTTTGGAAAACTAGCTTAGGTCAGCCAAACTTCACATACGAATGTATTGATTTTTTCTCATGATCTGATAGCCCGGGGTGCTCTTTTCGAAATGGTAGTAAAGTGATCTTGATTGTTTGCGGTTCGAGCGTTGTATCAGATTTCCGACAAATCCCAGGACTGGCACCCGATGGCTCTTGATAGCCTTAAAGACAGATAGACTATGGATAAAGCACGCTATTTTATCGTTTTTTAAAGCAACTAAACAAGAACATGCATTAACCGTACAACCCCATCTTTCACTTCCATTTTTATTCGTATGCTGACGATGAAAAGGGTTTTCTTAAAACAATATCGAAGGAGCACCTCTTTGACTTTCTTTTCGAACAAAATCTATTTCTTTTTGAAATATGTCTTATCACTGTTTTACACTTATATAATGACTGAATAGCTAGCTAATAAACCTTTGTACACTGCACGCTTGAACAACAGCACGTTTCAACGCACGTGTCAAATTGTATCTTATTTGAGAAATTGGGGCGGCTCATATATTATGAAATGTATTTCAGTTGAGAAATGATTATTTCGCAGAAATATTGGTTTCTCAACTGAGATACTTTATTAAAATATGGATTGTATCTCAACTGAGATGTTATGAGTCACACGTGACCGATAAGAACGTTCAGTTCCATTATTTTAAGTTAAGGTAAATAGAAACTTGTAAAGAATTGAATTGTGCATCTTTTAAAAGAAAATTCAAGATTTTATTATTTTTCTGTGCTGAGAGATATGTAAAATAAAAAATGTTGCAAACATTTTGGGACCCCCAGTAGAATCCATTCTAACCACGAGAAAGCTAATAGTCGATCAGCTTTCTAAATCTATACAGACTACTGCTAAAAGTAAAAATCTCAACAAAATCGCCTGGATAAAGGAAATCTTACAGAGACGGCCGTAAAAAGCTAAACATCCTAATTAAACTTCACAAAATTCGTCAGTTAGCCAGGTCGGACACTAAAAGCAGCTTTGGGAAATGAACTTATTTTTTTTAATTTTCTATTTGCTTGTGATATTTATTTCGACACCATTTTCTCACCTCCATCGTCTCGAATCAATTTTAATATCGGTGCACATTTCATCATTCTGTGTTATGGACCGTGGACTTTTGTTCTCTGAAAAGTAAAATTCGTTTTATGTTCTTCACAAAAACGAAAAACTCGTATTTTGAAGAACAAAAACCGGCTGAGATACCAAAATGAGCTAAAGAACATATTTTGTTCTTCATTTTCCAAAGAACACATTTAAGTTTTTCAGTATATTCTCCAAAGAACAGAAGAACAAAGATTTTTAACAGTGTATAGTAAGGGTACAGTGAGCAATGATCGTGCCATGTAAAAAATCGAAAGGGCGCTTTTAGATTCATTTGATAAAAAATACACTCCAATAGATGGGCTATTTACTTGTATACTTTGAACAACAGTATTTCATAATTTTCAAGTTTATTGGGGATGAAGAAGTACTTTAATAAACTGTTGCTCCATCTAAGATCAAAAAAGTTAAATACAATTAGAGAAGAGGATTATAATTATTTTATATTTGTGTCAACCATTATTAGTTTTAGCACACATATACGATAGAAATTGAGTCGAAAATAAATTATTCTGTCTGTTTTAATATTCTCAAAAATACTTTATTTGCTTCCGTTACCACAAGATTTTCATCGACTGTGAGCAGTTTTCGATCACGCATGACAATCTGTCCGTTAATGATGGTGGTGTTGACACAACTTCCATTCGCAGCAGAAACAAGATGACTGAGAAGCTGTGCAACTGAATCAGGCTTCAAAGGTGTGAAAAACTAAAGTTTGTCTACAAACCTGAGTCTTTTGAGTTCTGTCCTCATATGCATATAAATAATTACCTGAACTGAATTTTTATATAAACTACAATTATAGCTTGACCCAATATAATTCCTGTTGAGTCCAGTCTTGACAGAGGAATCTCAAAATAATTGAGAAAAAGGAACTACTTAGACAGGAATTGAACCTGAGATCGAGTAACCACAGGTTCAATCCCTGTCTACGTAGTACCTTTTTTTCGCTTTGTCTTTATAACCACTAGGTCACGCGTCATTATGAAAAGTGTTCTCTTTTCATTCATAATCATAAAATATCTTTTACAGAAAATATTCGAATTTGAAAAAAACTAAAATTTAATTTTTCGATGAATCAAAAATTTTGAAACTTGATTTTCAATATTAATCAACAGCTTGCATTACAGAGCTATATAAGAAAAGCCTTTTTTTCAGTTTAAAAATAATTCAAACTCATAAATCGAGATTTAAGAGAACTGAACAAGGTGTCCAAATTCAATTTTTCGAAATCAGGAGTTGCTCAGGAGATTTTCTTCGAAATCTGAAGAACAACAGGAGAGTATCAGACAGTTTTTTCTTGGACAAGCAAAATCTTCACTTCCACAAACGCTTGAGACTTTTTTCTACCAAGCAAATAAACCAAGATTTACGACAATAGAAAGTATTTTACTAAACTATTTAGTCCAACATCACCAAAACGCACAAGTGTTGGAGAGGAAAGAAAATTCGCTCTCTTAGTAGCGTTCCTTGGGCTAGGCAGAATGTGAATTTCAGCGTGTACTAATTAATTATTCTTATCCTTTGCATAATTTTGCTCACTATTCAAAAATTATACATATAAAATCCCATTTCTGCCTTACTGAGGAAAATAACAGAATAAGTGAGAAATTTACTTGTTATAAGACATTTTATTTGAAAGAGAAACATTTTGATTTTTTCCCCTACCGCCGAAAGATAGACATGCCCAATTATTATCGAGGGATAGAGAAACACGATCGATACAATGTAAACAATCTGATGCAAAAAAATAGCCAAATAATAATATATGAATGTCCAGACATACAAGCAGAGAAAGAAAAACTCTGGTTGGTGAGAAATAAAAATAACAAGGAAAGAAAGAACAAAAGAAGACGTTATTCTTCTTCTATAAAACGTTTTGTTGTACAAATATGGTCTATGACTGCATGATACATACATGAAAAACCTTCTTTCGAAAGAGATACATTTAGTAAAAGAAGATCAAGACTAAGGATAGGGGTGTTTTCTGTTGTTGAGATTTCGTTTATAAGAATTTTTCTTTGAGAGTGGAAAAACACACTCTATTAGATAGATAATGCTGAACTGTCTCTGTCTTTCTACACGGACACAAACTGTTGTCAATGAGTTTTTGTATAAATCGCCTTTTGGAGCAGAAAATTTGCGCAAAGCCTACTGTATAATTGTCCATGTTGCTCGGTATGCCCGACAAACAGAAAGAGAGCATCGATAACGAATGAAAATTTTTTTTTGAAAACTTTGCTTGAAGTTTCTTTCAGGTTTTGAGGTAGCTCTGATCAAACCTGTACGGTAAATGAAAAGAAAGATCTGTGCGCCTCCTTACAGTAATTTATTGACTCCTCTTTGATCTGCTCATCTTTGGCACTTGCTGGATACTGCTTACAAAAGATTGAAGAATGATCACCGCTTTTAACAGCTGACTGTGCTTTAATATTAACGATAGATGGCGTTAGATCGAATATATCTTTATTTCGCCATAGAATATCTTGCACCTGTGTTTTTTGCGTTGAATCTTCAATATGTAATATAATTTATTAATGTGAACGCGAATTTCTTGAGGATAGCATATTTCGTGTTGTTCCTGTAAATCGTTTTCGCATAAAAGCTTTTTATGACATTTATCAGACTGAGCCTCTGTTTCATTAGATGAATCATCTGCTTGAAAACGAACCATTCAGCTCATTTGCTAGTTTTACTTGTAAATTAACATTGATTAATCGTTGTAAAGAAGCTGGTATGATAAATTGTTCAGTGAGTGAAACCGGATAACTACGATCAGGTGTTTTTAATAAATCTTGATGTATTATTGTGATAGCTCATCCCATGTCAACAATCGCATGAGTTGGTTTGTTGTTGACTAAAATCTTAATGAAAATCGGGGGCGATGACGACGGTGTTGTTATTGATGATGGCTTCTCTGGCTTACTGGGAACAACGCCGTCACGTACCTCAGTGATTGAAGATGTGGCAGAGGGTGACAATCGCGGACTACATGCTTTTGTCCGCAATTAAAATCCTGATGAATGCCTATGTTTGCATTCAACTGTCCGATGATTTGTTTTTCAGCAAACTTTGCATGGATAAATTGTAATAATGAACTTTATGGCTGTGGATTTTCAGAAGGGACTGGTGCTTGATTTAAACTAAAACTTTTATAGGGATCAGTATAATTATCTTTTTGTGATGTTGTAAATGGTGATGGTTTTTGAACCGGATGATTTGGATGTTGATACACTGTAATTGGATTGACGATGAAAACCGATTGGTAAATGCTGATTGAAATTCACTGCATTGATTTTTAAATAATTCTATATTATCATCAAACCATTTGGCTGTGTTTTAATCAGCTTTCCGCTGTCTACTTGTAATCAGTCTTCATCTTTTGTTTTATCATTTCGAGTCGTCACAGATTTTAAACTTTTTAAAAATTGTTCGACTGTGCTGCCATCTGGTTCATCAGAGAAAGTCGGTTGCTCTACAAACCAGGTTTTCTTTGCTGTTGCAACCAATGAATCTAACAGCCTTTGTCGTCGGAGATATTTAAAGATGAATTTTGTTGAGTTTGATATTTATTGGTAATACGGTTGGTAACCGGATGATAAGGAACTAATTGTAAATTGTTTTTGTTATTGTTACTCCTAGTGCCCTTCGTTAAAAAGAAAGATCTATAAAGTTTAATTTCTTTAATAACAAATGCTTTCCTACCGGGGTCGCCATATTAGAGAATGAGCCTTGTATGTACAATGCACAGAAAGAAAGCTTGCGGTAACAGTTATTTCCGACCTTTTTTACACGCCATTACAAAAATGAATCAATACAAAAAAAGTAGACGACAAACGGTCTGAACGATACAGCGAAACTAACTAAACTGATATAAACACACTTATATATAGTAGGTGAAATCACAACGAAAAAACCAGAGAAAAAGACAAGCGCATATGTGTGCATATATGTGTCAAAGAAATGTATACATATGTAAAAGATGGACGGAAAAGACTGTATCGTAGTCAGTGTATGTACTAAATATATGAGCGACAGAAAATGAGGGTCATTCCAGACATAGAACGAAAGGACAAAATGTGTACGTCCAAAGGAACGAGAACGAAGTGAGAAATGTGATTTCTTACAGCAAGAGTAAGAAAAGAAAACATAAAATAATGAAAAAGGATAAAAATATAACTATAACGCTATTACTATAGACATAATTGCTTCTTCAACTCACGTTTTAGTTAAACAAACTTCATCAGCCTCCACTAAAGCCACCATATCATTCAGTTATTGTAGTAAGTCGGGGGGCGCCCCCCCCCCGCGCGGGGGGCGGGGGGGGGGGGGGGGCGCCCGCGGCGGGGGGGGGGGGGGGGGGTGGGGGGGGG